AAGTATAAATGAAACTAATCACTCTTAAAATTTGTATTATAAAATTTTTATAGCTATAATTTGTGTATTATTTAATTTACGAGAAAACTACAAAATATAGTATATCAATAATTTTTATATAGAAAGCAGTACTCACTAAATTTTATAAACTATAAATAAATATGTGCACGTACATTGTGTATACATTACCTATCTATCCATAGTCCATTAGTCATTCTCTCAAAAGCTGTTAAAATATAGAAATAAACAATTGTTATTACGTATTAGTTTTTGTTATTAATTGAGAGTAATATTTAGGAATTAGATAAAATATATCATATTATATTTCACTAACCATTTTGTGCAATACAAAGAGATACAGTCAAATTTCTGTTAACGGTAATTTTTTTTTGGTCCCGTCAAATGTTAAGGAAAAAATATATTATACCTCTATATAACAGTCAAAATATAAGATAAAATAATAGAAAATATGTACATATAAGAAATTTAAAATGTGTGATTTGCCCAAATTATTTATTGCAGTTTGTAGTTATCGTAACGGAATTTTACGATAACGCTATAAACAAGGTGTACCTATTTGTGTATTATGTGATGTTTCATTAGTTTCCAGTACAAGCTGTAAAAGTTTTAATTTACGTGATTATCATGGCATCCAAACAAAAACACCTAACTGTAGCGGAAAAAAATCAAGTTGTTAGACTGTTAAAGAATATGAAAAAAATTGTGGTGCTCGTGTTCTTGCTAATAAATTTGGAATAGGGAGAACTCAAGCCACTAATTTAATAGAAAATAAAGATACGGTTTTAAAATTATGGTAATCTAACGGTAATGTCGAAATGAAAACTATTAAACGTTCCAAATTCGAATTAATTATTAATGACGTTGTGTACGAATGGTTTAGTGCTGAAGTTTCTAAAAATATTTCAATCAGTAGACAACAATATTCGAAGAAAATACTTAACAAGTAAGTCAAAAACTTGAATATAAACATTTTAAAGCGTCAAATGGTTGGCTCAATAAATTTAAAACACGGTACAATATGTATTTTAAAGTTATTTGAGTGAAAATAAATCGGCTGATACTTGATACGAAAACAGTGGACGAACGGCGTATAAAAGTAAAAGTAGTAAAATAATTAATTTCTTCATATGAGCCCTGAAAATATTTTAAAACCGACGAAACAGGGTTGTTTATAAAGTTCTTCCTATAGTTGAACATTAAATTTTAAAAATGAAAGTTGTGATTCTGGGGAAATTTTAAAGAAAGATTGACGGTCATATATTATTATGCGTTAAATTAATTGTTGAACTCAAAAAACCTTTAATAATACGAAAGTCTAAAAATACCGTTGTTTTAAAAATATAGACCTAAAATGTCTTTATATACGTTGGGAGACAAGTAATTAACGTGATTAACGCGAAATACCAACTCGTATTATGCAGAGTGGTTAATGTGGTTTGATGAAAAAATAAAAACGTATACAATTATTTTGTTTTTGGGTAATGCAACATCACATCCTTTTTTTAAGTTACAAAATATATATTTAGTATTTTTACCACTAAATATAACGTTACACTTCCAACTACTAGGTCAAAGTATAGCACAACACTTTAAATTTACTTACCAACAATAAACGATACTTAGGCGTATACGTATTATCACAGATCGATGTAGTGAAAAATGCTGACGATCTTGCAAAAAGTATAGCTGTTTTAGACGCTTTGATGTAGATTGTACAGTTTGTAATTCAAATTACAGTTAATAGTGTCGTTAAATACTTAAAAAGTTAGGTTTTATTGTAAAAAATTTGCACGGAGAGTTAGATAACACAGATTTCGAAAATGAAATGATTTTTGTTGTACAATTAGTTAGCTTGCAAACTCATATGCAAGGTAAAGACATTTTTTCGATCGACAAAAATCTGAACTCTAAAGAAGATAACAGTGATATCAAGTTATTATCACTATGTGATAATGACGAGAAGGAATTTAAAGAAGAAACCGAGGAAGCTAGAGGAAATGAATAATAAGAGTACAATGAATTAAATTATTCAGAGGTTTTTAATTAAATAAAACAATTAGCTATTTTTACTCTTCAAAAAAAGGTGACGTAAATAATTTTGATTAATTAAAAATAGCAGAAATTAATTTCAAGAACATTTTTTCAAATTATATACATTTAAAACAAACTAATATTACTTAATATTTTTAATTTTAATACGTATTTATAATTAACTGTTGTGTACGTATGTCATAAATACATTTTTTGGTTTGTCCATTGTGTATTTTATTTGATTTTTTTTGCACTCTATCTCTATGTAACGGTCTTTTGGAGGTATTTTACTATTTATAGTCACCTCTAAACGACAGCCACCTTTAAGCAGCGGTCATTATTTTTAGTCCTTTCGGTGACCGTTACATCCTGATGTGATTCAACAGACGGGCATTCATTCCTAAATTTATAAATCCTTCTATAGAATTTAAAGCTTTTAGATTTAATTTTATAAAGGACGGTTATTTTAATTTAATTAACGTGTAATGGTATGCTTACATATACATAAAATTCAATCAAATAAATTAACGGTCAAGTTGTCGCACGCAGACTAAATCCTATAAACATCCTTTCGCCACTAATAAAAGAAAACGACTTATATTATATGGTCACAAGGGGATTGACACATGAGTTGTGACAATGTCTCGCAAAGCGTGTAAACCGATTTTGTTAGCCACCAGAGACAAGCCATGGAACAATGAAGCTCTCTGTCGTCTAGAAGAAAGACTATTTCTTCGAAAAACGCTGAGTCCTTTTTTTGATGGCATCGCCTGCGACTCTGGCTGGCTGGACCAGGTCGTCTTCTCTCTGCAGTGCACGAGTACCAGCCAAGCCATGAGTGCATGAGCACCAGCCAAACTATCGAGTGCACGAGTACCGACAAAAATTATGAGTGCAGGAGCACGAGAAAAGCGAGCAGGAGCTCTTCCCAAAAACCACCATACGACTTACACACAAGACTCTGCGAGCGACAGCTGGATTTCTTTCTTTCTCTAAGTTAAATCAGTGTTGTTTTTCTTATTTAAATTTAAGTTTTCTTTAAATCATATCGTAATTTGTGTCATCTTGCATCTTTCTCCGAAGAACGTACTATAAGTATTCACTGCGGCAAATTAGGTAAGGTGTATGTCTAAAATACTAATTTTTAGTACAGGTTATGTTACTATCTAATTTGTGTAACAGTGTATTTGATCACATTCTTGAATCACGATCTTGAGAACCCTCCGAAGAACAGGAGGAAGGTAATAACACGAGAACAAGTATACTTAATATTTATTAATACCGGACTTACATACAAGGCTTGTGTCCCTTGTGTCAGTCCGGCCGCATCATACTTATATTTAAACGTTAATTTCCCTTTTTTGTGTTATTACAAACGTCTAACTAAATTTTCATAATATACTGTTCTGTATAACAAATATTTAACTAAATAATCTTAAAGACAACATATTTTGGTCGTAAATCATAGAGTACCTAATTATAGTAATTACCATAAGAAATAAATAAGTACTGGTGTTTAGTATTTCTAAATATGTTTTTTACCAAAGGTCCTGTATAGAAAAATGTCTATTTTAGTTGAATTGAGTCAGCAAGTACATAAACACGAGTTAAAATTGTATTAAAATTGAGTTGGGAGCTAGTGTGCTTAAGAAATTGTAAAAAAAAAAAAAAAAAATGATCAAGAGTTAGAAAGATAACGATGTTTTATAGAATTTTGTATTTTATCATACATATAAAAAAATATAAGTAGGACCTTGTATAAAATATAGGAATATTTAATATGATGTCAAAGAAAAACATGAACTTAAAAAAAAAAAATAATAATACATAATAATAAATAACTATAATTCGCGTATAAAACTATAAATACATTATAATAATGCAACGCTGGTTTTTCGATTTGCATAATAAATTAACAATATCTACATATTATACATAAAAACAACACAAAACACAATAGAGTTATTGTGTCCTACATAATCGTGCATATTATTGTGTATACGTATAGTATTAATATATACATTAGTAATGTTCAAAAGTCTTGGGGGTGACCTTCCACGGACAGAAGTTCTGTAACAGAACCACAATATATATTAAACCTAATAAATTTTATAAATTATTGCACGCGTATATTATTGCACACGTACATAACAGGTATTATAATACCTGGGTACATATTATGTAGTCTAGCCTGTTTGTGTGTGTGTATGTATGTATATTTATTCTGTAAAAACCACGAGCGGCGGACGCGTTTTAAATAATGAATTTTAATTCCATTGACCGTTATAGCCGAGTTTGGGTATACACACATGCACATATTACCTATAACCTAACGAATAAAAAAATACGAAACAACGAAACTCTGTCGGACGGCTCCCCCCCATTGCCGCCGTCACGGATTCGCAGTGTTCGTATTATAATATAATATTATGTATTATGTATCATGTATAGTATATACGCTGACCGCCTTCACTTGCACCTCAACCGGCTTTGCCTCCCCCCCCACACACACACACACACAAACACACAAACACACAGCGCCTATTTCTGCAGTACACGGTCCAATAAAAAATTCATTAATCAGTTTGCGTGTTAAGTCGATTTCCTTATTTGAACGTGAAAAATCGAAAAAAACAAAACAAAACGAAAACGAAAACTGCCACACAAAACATAATAATATAATAACAATATTATGGTATTATGGTAGGTACACGGGCGCCACACTTGGCGTGAGGCGTGCGCGCGCTAGTCGCATTCCAAAAAAAGTTTGAGAAAATATAATAATATACAGGTATAATAGGTATGTAGTTCTTATAACGTCGGTTCGCCCACACTTACACACACACACACGCGCGCGCGCTACCTGAGCCACGCACGTACACGCCACTCTGCGCCACGCACACCTCGCGCTGCGCCGGCGGCGTCGACCGACGCCGCCCAGCCATTTGTTGTTGAGACGCGGCGCCGCGGACACGTCTACCAGACAGTCATGGCCCAGCGGAGGACGGTGCATGCGTTTTTGGCGGCGTACTGTTGTTGCCTGATGGCGGTGGCCCTGCTGTCGCCGCAGCCGGCTGTCGGCATGGCCGTCGCGGCAGACACCGCGGCCGCGGCCGCCGCTGGCGCAGCCGTTCCGCCGCCGTCGTCCGCCGCCCGGAACAAGCGATGGTCCACGACGTTCGGAGCCAACTCGAGCAACAAGAACGTGACAGGTGAGCGCGCGATTCGCTTACGCGGTTTGTGCCCTGCTCGCGCGCAAATCTCGCGAACGCGTCACGACCGTGCGCGGACTCATCCGCATTTTGTCCGCGGCCGCGCGTCGTATCGCCGCCGCACAGACCGACCGTCGTGATATGCCCGTACACTGCTGACTGCAGTGGTGTGGCCAGGATTTTGAAATTGGATGGGGAGGGGGGTTCAAAGCGAAAAGAGATCATCAGATAAAAAAAAACTAGCTGTACCTAACGGTTTTTCTTTTTTTCTTGATCCGATGGGGGAGTTTAAACCCCTATCCCCCTCCTACTTTGGGCACGCCACTGGCTGACACCTTTAACCGTTATAAATGACAAGTACTTGGTACTTGTCTCGGGTTTGCGTATTGTTATTATACCAGCTATTATTGGGTTCCAGAATATGCTGCTCTCAATCGATAAATACTAAATTCGATTCGTTTGAAAAAAAAAATTTCCCATCAGAGTTAAAATATTCATACACTATACACGGTTCGTGTAGGTCCATAGGCGTAATCTAGGGGAGGGGCTTGGGTGTGCTTAGTACCCCCAATTTTGAAATTATCACCCCCGAGTTGGTTCATGTTCATTTAGATTTTAATAGTAACATATATCCATAACCTTAAAATAAAATAATAAAAATAGATAAAGGAGCATGAGCACATTGAGCACCCCTAGTTTTTTCATTGAAATTGTGCCTCTGTAGTAGGCCACTTATTTGTATTTATGTATACATAAATTAGTGCAAATTTTTTGTATATGGTGTTTAACGGAAAAATACCGAATACGAGCATTGTTTAGTGGATTCTTGGGCTATTCCATGTATATGTAAATAATAATATGTACATTCGTGTTATTAGTGCTAGGTATCGTCGAAACAAAAAACAAAATCTTAGCAGCCAATAATATTACATTTGCCAGATCAACATACATACATTATAGAATATATTATATGAGTACACGGTACACATATAGAACATATTAATCGGACTACTGCCAGTTCTGTTTAATGTATAATTTATTGTATAAACAAATAGGTACACACGCGTGCAAAGCTGAAACTTATAACATTATCGAGTTCCGGGGGCATTACACTTCTGAAATATATAGATGATGAGCTCTACACAAAAGTGTCGTGTCTTACATTTTCTGGTTAAATACTTAGCGTATGACGTTATAATTTTTATAAACGTCAAGGAACGACCAGACCGCGTGCACGCCGTGCACGAAATTTCGATCGTTTTTGTTTACATCCAATTTTGATGGTCAAATTTGTATGCTTTATATTACATTGACGTGCACACAATACTAACTAAATAAGTACCTACAACTGTTTTAATTTTTTTTATCGATCCGCAGTATACACTTCCAGTGCAATATGTATATATATTGTGTTTGTTCGAATAATATTATCAATGCTCGTGCTCGGACATGAAGAGAAATTAAAAAGTCGGTGCTGAATAGGGAAAATATGCAAAAGGAGAGGATTATGAGTGGTGACTGGGGGCAAGAAAGTAAAATTGTAAGGGGTGCAAAAAAAAAATATATATATATACTATACATTATTTCACTATTTACGGTTGTTTCGCACGCTAAGGTTGCGGCGGCAGCTAAGGTAACAGCACGGGTATTTATGTATAGTATATATACATACATATTATATCATAATGTTTATGTATTATAAGTGTACTGCTTTGTATAGCAGTGGTGGCTACGACTATGGTGGCAACGGCTGCGAACGAAATGTTTGACGCCTTCGTCAAATACGTAAATAGAGAGAAAAAATTTCAAGTGCATACAATTTTACATTAAAAATTTGTTTTGTAGTTAGGTACCATGTTCTTGCTACCCACGTGAATATATTTGAAATAAAACATTTTTTTTTTTGTGTGTACTACACTAGTACTCATATAAATTAGTCTACGGTATAACATTAAAATATAATGACGTAACAATGGAAAAAAATGTGCGGTATTACAGTATTATGTGATTTATAATTTGTATCATAATATTTATGTACATAAAACTCGGTGCAAACAATCGCAATAATTATTATAAACGTTAAAGTATGATGTATTGTAGTGTAAACAGACAATTTACTTGAATTATCTATTTTGGCGTTTTGCCCCTTGAGGGTTTTTTAAGCGTTTCATTTCACGCGAATTTCACGATACTTTGCGTAAGTGCGTGTTCATGAAACACATTGCGGGCTAGAGTAGTTTTCGGGCCCATACAATTATTTTGTTGAATTCCGGAATCATCGCTTTGGTTACACGAAAATCATTTTTATACATATCGACCACGTTTTTCTTTACATTTATTAATAGTGCAGAAATAATATTATTTTAGTATCCAAGCGAGCTCGCTTATATATTCCGATGCCATTCACTGATATAGTAGTTTGCGTTTTAAGCGATTTATTGTTTGCATTTTTTTAACTATAGTGAGATATCTATAACACTATTAAATAACGATTCCCCGACTTTAAATGAGGCTTTGTAATAACTGTATAACGAAGTGTCAACATTTCTATTATTATCATTCATGCTATATTTTTGAATTTTCAGGCTATTCGTTTTGATTGCTTTTAATGATAATAGATGTGTACATTAAACTAACACTGTTAAAATATAATTGAATATTTTTGTTTAAATATTGATGCTTTTAGAAATCTGAAGGTATATTGTACTCTGGTGTACATTATCAAAAGAAGACTATACAAAGTATAGCCATGGATCCAAGTTTACATTAATGTTTATAACATAAGTATACTTATGTTTCCCAAAAAAATAAAAATAAAATTGATTAATAAAAATTTATTTTTCTTTTATCTGCTAAAGGTCTTATCTTGTCGTTGCAAATTTGGTTCTCCATTTCTTCATTAACTAATCTTTCACCTCAGTTGTTTCTTATTCCTAAGCCATGTTTGCCTATACTGCTAAATTGCTTATAACAATTACATTATTGCTATTTCGAGTTATGTCTGATAGTTCATCTAGAGAGTCATAAATTTGTTCTATCTCGTCGTCTTCACCGTTTGAGGTTGGAAAATATACCTGAATGACTATCACGTTTACTGATGGTTGTCTTACATTTTATTAGTAGTATTCTATCATTCACATATTAGGTATTTTCTACTTGCAATCTCTCATTCTTTGTTTAGTATAAATCTAACTCCATTTTCCCCTTGTTTTTCTCCACTATGTATCATTCGAAAATCATCACTTAAGAAGTTTCACTATCACCTCACCTAGTTTCACACACTCCTAAAATATCGAGTTGTTTTAGTTTCATTTGTTGCTTAAATTCTTCGAATCTTCCTGGTTTTAACAACGTTCTTACGTTCCGCATTGGGATAGTTTAGTTTTTGATTTTATTTTCAATGTTCTATTTTTTGCTTTGGTATAGATTCCATTGGCTGATGACTTAAAAATATTATAGATTTATGAATGCGATTAAAACTAAAAAGTCTGATGGTATTAAGTTCTATATTTTGAAAAAAGTCTTTTTCCAACAAAAAAAATATCACGTTTTTAGAAGAAAATTTTGGGGTAAATTGTATGATAATAAAACTAAACAAAATAACTATTACCATATGTCATGAAATTTCATAAATCATAATTTAATATTTAATAATAGATATGTATAAAATAGACACAATAAATATGTCTAAAAATTCTTGTATATTACTTATAGTTTATGTAGTATAAAGTATAAACACAAAACAGTTTACGTATTTTATTGTAATTATAAATTTAAAAAACCAAAATGTTTTTAATATGTCATTATAATATGTTATTATGTTATAAAATTCACACTTCAATGTACATGTAAATTATGTCAACTGTTTATTAGAAATTGAGGGCGTGTCTAATGAATTTTTTAAAAACTCGTATTAAAGTGCGTGATTAATAAAAAATATTATAATTATCGTCATACTCAGACTTTTATGTTGTGTCGCCTTTATTGTTTGTTATTTAAATATTTTGTGTTTGTAATAGGTTAATATTAATTAATATTTTGCATTAATACTGAACAATTTGGTATATATTAAATAAAATGATAGAATGATAGTAAGAAATTTAATAAAATTTGTGAATTTTTTTTTTTAGTTAATAATGCAGTTCAGGATTGTACTACCGACTCTGATTGTTTAAATACGCCATTTACATCTTGTGCGCTTGATCCAAGTGACAAGAAAAGAAAATGTTTGTGTGCAGATGGAAAATTGCCACTCAATGGTGATTGCTTAAAAAAGCCAAGAGGTATACCTGTATGAGCAATAAATAATTTATCAAGTCAAACAATAATATATATGGTCCTAAATTATTTGAAATGAAATCATTAATTCTAAAAAAACCGCTTAATATACCTTAATATTTAGTTTATTAAGTTGTATTATAGTTTATAGTTTAGAAAAATATTTTTATATTATGCGTATTAATATTTTGTGTATCAAATTATCTCACAATTTATTTAAAATTTTTATTTTTACACATATATGTTTCAAAAAGTTGAAAAATTGGTCTGCCATGCAGTAAGTTTTGAGTTTAAATCATCACTGAGAAAATCACTGTAATGGAGGTGTTACATTTGAATTATTTAGTAATTAATTATTAGATTCTGGCTGAATACCTATGTCACTAGGTCAGTCTATATTTTGAAGGATATTTTATGAAGTATACTTTGTATTCCTATGAGTAATTCATTTTTTTTATAAATCATATTGTGAGTAGAACTAATTTTTTAAAAACTAATATCGTGTAAATATTCTAATTTTTTTGAATTTTATAGTTTTATTTTGTTTATTTTAAGCATGGTGGATTTTACTTTTTACTTTTCAAATTACCATACCAACTATTGGTCCATTTTGCTATGGAAAATATCCTCCAAGTTGAAGATCAAATCATTTTTGTTTTTTTAAAAATGTGATAACACATAAAATAACATTATATCATACATATCATTGTAAAACTAATTCAATTATCGCTTCGTTCAGAATCTAAAATAAATATATTTATAAAAAAACTACTTAAATTAGTTTATATTATAACATGACGTTAGTGTAATGGATATGTAATCTCGATAAAGCTATGCGTTGAAAAAAATTTAGTGCAATATTCTATGGAGTTATCTTCTAAATAATCTCGAATAATACACAATACGAATAGTTACTTTTTCTAAAAAAAAATATTCCAATCAACGATAATGTATAAATAATAAAATAAGCCGAATGCTCGTAAGTATTTCCGAGTTATAACTGGGTATTTAATGGATCAATGATTTTTGTTGTTTTATAATTTTTTCATTTATTTGTATTTATTCATTTTATATTTAAGAATAATTTATTCAATTCTATTTTTATAGTTGTATACATAGGTGCATTGAATTGGCCATCAAATGCTCCAACTTCGTATAATAAATAAAATTAATTATTTGGATTAGTAATTACTCATAATTGTTTTCTATTTGATGATAAATTTAATCTTTTTCAAATTTTAACTTTTTAAGTTGAATAAGCGTAAACATTTAATAAAACATGGAATTTATCATTGAACCTTTGTTATAATATATTATTTTTTTTTTTATGGAAGTAATCTGCACTGTTTATTTACATTAGTTTTATTGTAAGTTAATATTTAAATTTATATTTTTAGTGCAACTTTTATGTTTCATACCATGAACCACTTTAATCCAACATATCCAAATTAAAATAATATATAATATATAAATTTCTGGATTGATATAATTTATAAAAAGGTTAATTATTTTTACAATAATTAGTCTACGTGTGTATAAAATAAATGCATTGTACAGTATTAAAGGTATTACGTATTGGTATGTAGTATGCACTAACATTTTGCCAGGACCGCTTTTTGTTCCAGCATTAAAAACATCATGTGAAACAGACGTAGAGTGTTTGCCGAATGCCATATGTAAAAATAACGCCACATTGACGAATCCAAGATTGAAAATATGTGCGTGTAAGGATGGATTTATTGAAGAAAAGGAGTCTTGCAACTGTAATTATACATTAGATTTATTCGTACAATAATATACTATAAAATCATAGTTGAAAACTATTCATTGATGTTTTTATTTAAAAATAAACAAATAAAAATATAAAAATTAATAAAATAAACTTGGTTAATATGAAATATAATCTGAGCACAAATATTTTTTGAACTAATTACTAACAAAAAGGTAATTTATAATTTATTGCAATTTTTGGACTAGGGATAAAATGTTGAAAAAATAATTATTTTAATTTTAAAAATATGAATTTTTATATCTTACATTTATTAAGTGAAAAGTTAAGTTATATATTCATAATATACATGTTAAATTATGGTTAAGAAAAAATTTAAAACTGCTATTTTCTTAATGCGTTTTTATGTGATGATTTAATAAGATATGTGGTATTATTTAACAAATTTTAAGTTTTTTTTCGTATTTATTTTTATTTTCTGTCGAAAATATCATAAAATACTAATCAGTGGCGCCAAACCCTATGTCAGTGTAGGACAATTGTCCTACATATAAAATTGGTGATGGGTGAGAAAATCTATCTTGGTAGCTTAAACAACTGAATGTGTGGTGGGTGGGAGATTGTTTTAAATGTTTGTCCTTCCTTTGTTTTTTTACTTTGGCGTCACTGAAATACTTAACAAATGATTTATTTATTTTATTACTATAATAAATTAAGTTTACCATATTTTTAAATGCTAATAAAATGATTAGTTTTAAGTGAGTATTTAGTAAAAAACCTAAAATTAAGGTTCTATATATTGATTTTTATATCTCTGGGATATGGGGTTAACTACGTGAGCATTATTTTTTGATTATTTATATTTAAGTCTTAATTAAAAACAATAAAATTTGTCGACAAATTAGAATATGGTGTATTGTTATTTGTAATACTTCACATTGATGGAAATATTCTTTAATTAGCATGGTGGTATCTATTAAGTTAGTTTTTATTATTTGCAACAAATGTTATAGAGCAGGGGTGGCGAACCTACGACACGCTTGACAGAGGTGGTACGTTGGTCAAATTTCAATGGCACGTGAAAAATTAAAATTTTAACAAATTATGCTATTTATAAAATGTTGGTTATAAGCAATTCAAAGAAACAAATTATGTTTAAAAATTATAATATTATTTTATAAAATGTATTATTTTACTATATTATTATTATATTTATTGTGTAACTTTATTTTTATCTTTAGAAAATATAATTTCCTTTGGGCGCGTGAAACATTTTGAAAACCTTGATTTGAAAAATTTGACGCTTGACCCATAAAAGGTTTGCCACCTCTGTTATAGAGTATAGCTATTTCGTAATTTTAATTTAAACTTAACAATTATTATAGAGTAAATATTATTTATTTTCTACACATTTGATATTGAATTTAGTAAGAAATATTTTAATTAAATGTTTTGAAAAAAAAAAATTTAATTTAAACTAATATAAACGTATTACATTAAACTATATTTAATATTTTATGAGTATTGTAATACGAGTAGTATTTCCGTTCTGGAAAAATAAAATAATTAGATTTTTAGATAGTATCAGTTTATAATTTTATAACTATAAGTGATAATTAACGTCTTTTATAATTTTTTATTGTTTTACTTTTGGAAGCTTACATTGTATATTATATACACACAGGTATTTTACAAATAATTGATTCAAGGTAACATCAAACCGTTAATTCCTGTTATACTCCATTCACGTTTAGAAGCGACTTGGGCGGCGATCAGTTTTTGTCGGCAGCACACAGGTCACTCACATAATTATTTATCCTATTTAATCAACTATCAGTTATATAAGCATAGAACGATACCACACCTACGGTTTCAATAATGGGGTACTGTGAAAGTTTCTAATACTAAAAAAAACCAACTGTTCCAGAATATTTTCTTTTGGAATAAAACGAATGTCCCGACTTTTATACTTAATTATTTATTTTATAAAAATCTCTTGATGAAAATTATGACAGACAAATCTGTACGTTTCTACAAAAACGTTTAAACCCACCATAACCAATTCATAAAGAACCTATCCTTCTAAATTATACTTGGCAACCCCAAGCGTCGTATAAAAAGAAACTGATGCCATAACTTGTTACAAAATTTAAAAAATAATAATAAATACAAAAAAATAAAAATAGATAACTAAACAACTCCTATTTAAGTGTCATTAATGAATAACTTCTTACTCAATTATACATTTATAATTCTCTTTTATCATCATTCATCACATATGCTTATTGTAATAAAAGTATACTTTTAGGTATTATAACCTTAGTGTAGGTTAGGTAATTTAAAGATATAATATACACTAAAAATAATATTTTAGATTATTATTTGATTTACAATATTGTTTAAATGTTTAACAATACACTCAAAGATTTATAAAAAAATATATTTTCTATATTTTTAATTAAAAGCTTTTTATACTGCTCATATAGTTATTAATAATGTACAAATAATCAAATTAGTGATTTATAAAATAACTAATAATATATATATATATATATCATATTTATTAAAAATAAACTATGACTTGGCCTCATGTTCTAATTTATTGCATTAGAAGAAATACGATAATAAAAAATTAAGTACAGAAAAATAGCTTTGTGTTATATTTTTAAAGTATAACATACTTTTAAAAGTATAACTTGCTTTTACATGAATAGTATAATATGTGTATGTTATGTAAATTGTATATATTTTATATAAACATAATATATAAGTATTATATACTTTTTATGTATTTTATTTAACGGGCGTTGGTTATAAATTGATAACTTTTGTTTGTTTACATTTATGGGTGTTACTTATTAGATGTCAGTAGTAGTAAAGGTGTATTAGCAATCAACACAGAAACCAATAAGTCAGTTCAAATTATTTTAATTGACCGTTTGTTCTCTGTTATTGTATAGGTTGCGTGACTTAGTTGAATTTAAAGTGATTGACCGACAAATTATTAATAGCATAACTATCGAAGTTGGTTGAACATTTGACCTTTAGTGTTCATGTTATATTAGACATATTGATAGTCAATCAATTTTTAAATAATGGATTTTTTATTTTCATTTAAAACTTTGATTTTATCAAGATAAAGAGTATAATTAAAGGGGATATTCACATTATTTATTTATCCAATTGTCAAAATTGAAGAAAACTTTTTAAATTAAACAAGAAAACTATTCAAAGGCACTTCGTTTTTATTTAAATTATTAACTTAAAGAAATGTAATAAATCCGGAAACTCGATCTGTTCTATATCTACTATCTGTTAAGTTATATATTAGGTCACTGAAATATTCATTTCTGTCATCTAATAGTCTATAAGAATTAATTAATACAGTCACTTTAATAGATATGATAAATTTGAACTTAATGTAACGAAAAACAGTTCTGAGCTGGCCTGTAAGTTTTTTTCTACCACAGAAATATTATGGCAATTTGTACTAATACTTTTAAAATATACTTGAGCATAGTTTATAATAATATACGTATTTTCAAAAGTTCTAAGTTTTTACGAATAATGTTTTTAAATTAAAACAAAATAATAAAAAACATTATTTTTCATTTAAATATTTAATTGAAATACAAAACAAAAAATTGATTATAATATGCTGAAAATCGTCAAATCTAAAATTTAATATAAGCACAATTTTTTCAATAAACATTTGATATTCAAATTTAAAAAATATGTTTATCCATTTAAAGCCATCATCTACTCATACATAGAGTCCATTCACAGTATTTTTCGGTAAGATGGTATATTAAATCAAAAGTTAACAACAATAGTCAATAATATAACACTATATAAATATAAACTATTATAATTTATAATAATTAAATATTAATAATATCATAAATTCAATGTTTTCGAGGGGGGATCAATCCGGAATAAATTTAATATTAATAGTAAAATAAATTAGTTTAATAGGAATATCAAAAACATATTTTGAATTAGTATTCTTAGTGATATAGGTTGACAGACCGTCTTTGTTTAAAATTGTTTTTTGTTTATGGTATTAAATAATTGAATTCAAATTTAACATATCCCGACATCCGATCACCATTATTGTGACACTGTCGATACCTGAAGCTGTACAATAAAATAGTATCTATTTGCCTAATTTTTTTTCTAAAAATTTTCTTTATAATATTTAATTTTTATTTATAATATGCACTTGAAAAAAACATATTTATTATCTAAGAACAAAAAAAAAAAAATTGAGAATATTATTATAATATGAAAACGGTACATCGGATACGCAATTTTGGTACAGAAATATGGAGAAACTAACTTTTTCATACTGTACATAGTATATTTAAATATATGGTAAAAAGTTTTATACATCACATTTTAAAATAAAGTATTTGAAGATATACCAATAAACTGACAAGATTTTTTTTTAAATCTACCTAATATAGCGTGAGTTTTTAAAATTTATTTCACTAATATTATGTATGATAGTGTTTTATATAAATAGATACAACACATTAGTTCCATCGAATTTATCAGCTTCATTTGTCAAATTAACTAACTTAAACGATGTTATGTTTATCTAGTGTATAGGTAGTATATTATATTTTCTGAATAAAAATAAAGGTTGAATACCTTTAATAACCTAATCTAACGTGTTTATTTATTGAAATCATGATGTTAAAACTCATTGTTATATTAAAATAAATATTAATAAAGGTAAAAGGTACTATAATTTTAATAATAGTAACTATAAGCTATTAATATTCAATATTTTATGTTATTTTAAAGATATAAATATAATAATATACAAAATTAATATTGTTAATGAAATTTTTGTTTGTAGATGCTGATTTATTGACATTCAATTACACAACCTTGTTAATTGCAGTTTTTACTTCATGGATTTGGAATGAACGTCGTGCATAATTATTGTAGACTTTTTAAAACGAAAATGTTTCTTCTATACTTACACTCTATTTATTATCTATTAACTACCTATAATATTTTATGTTATATTTCACTTGATTGATGCACAAATTAAAAATAATATTTTAAGGTCCTGTTATATTATTACCTTATATATTATTTGCCTAATTTTAGTTGAATTAATATTTCAATTTATAATATAATATATTCAATACTAATATTATATTATTTTTTACTACACATTATTTAAGATTGATCATACATAAGTTAAAATGTATTATACATGTTACATTTTAATTTATTCTAATATATGAATACATTCATTATTAAAATAATTTATCAAAAACAAACTTAAATTAAAAATAAATCTTAGCGTTTATTTTAATTTACAGTTTGACTTAAATTGTTCTGTATGCAATTTAGATTATTAATTATATAAATATTAAGTAGATTCAATATGTGTGATATAATATATTGATACAAGTTCATATTTTGATAAATAATACAAAGAAACAAATTATTTTTTTTAGACTTTGAGTGGAGTGATATATGTATTGATTTTACAATGATGTGTAATTTTGTGTATTCATCATATTTTAGAGCATTAAAATGCATATATATTTTCAATTTCGAGGGAACGTGTTTTTGGTAGAAAATTCTGGTCAAAAAATCTAAAATTGATTACGAGGTTTCTTATGAGTTCATCGCGAATGAAAAAATATAATTTATTTTTATAATTTTTTTAAGTTAAGATTTTGATAAAAATTTTTCATCCAAAATATATTTTATTAATATCTCATAACTAAGATTTGAAATTGTGGAGCAAAGTTTCACATGAACTGTTATTAATAGAATTATAAATAAAAGTTAAACATAGTTCAACAAAAAATAGGTCGATTGTTTGAAGTTTAAATTTGAAAAAATTGAATATTCGAGGTGTAAAATAACGATTTATTATCAAATAATGTTCTTAGTTTGTTGTAATTCAATAATGATTAACTGTAGATATTTGAAGATTTCACTAAATGTTTATATTGTTACTTTATAGTTAATACACATAATATAATTTTTAAAATATTATCTTGACTCTTTTAAAGATATTGCAAATTATTTCGTAATTAAAAATGTATTAAATGTTTAATTTTATATCTAAAGCTTAAAAATATATTACAATTTTCTCGTAAGTAGTTCATGTTGAGACTAAAAACTCTAAAATATATATCATTATAAACACAATTATTTTTATAAATATTTGAAATAAAAATTTGGATAAAATAAGATAGTTAAACGAAGGATAAATATGTTAAAATTAATTATTTTAATAATTCAAAAACATTATTTGTGAGGAATTGAAAGTTTTTCATGTATTATATCTATTTTGTTATACACAATGGTCAATGACATTTTAGTATGTTTCTCCCAAAATGCTATGAATCTATTCCACCATTTTAAATCGGTTGAATAATTTATTTGTACGGTGTAAGGAATATTCGAAGGACCACTTAATAATATCCAAGATTGATAATATTTATAACACTACACAATAGGAGTAAATTTCAAATGTTTGGTTAGTTGCCCCAAATTTGCAGCGGTGGTGATATGTGCATGATGTTGACCAAGAAAATATGACTAAAGGAAAAGGAACGTTGTAGGCTAATTATAAGAGGAAGGAAAGATCACAGATGATCTGATCGGTCTAGCTCAATGATCACAAAGTGCACACAAAGTTGGACAAATGCTTATATCAAAAATTAAAATTAAGGTAGTCTGGTTATAGTGATAACTGATAAGTGATAAGTAACGATGAATTGTATTTTGTTGGATAGCCTCTTTCACAACTATTGTTAGAGTTTTTAGCGGACTTCTTCGTCGGCACACTTGACTGTACAGGATAAGAATCACAGATATATAGTTTTATATATCTGTGATAAGAATCCTAGTCAATCGATAAGGCGAATTTAATTCACATAATATTATAGTTATAATTTATAGAAAACCAATAGTCGCTCTATGCACCTAATTATATCGAAACGGAGTAACGATTGTATCTACTACTACTACTACTACTACTACTACTACTACTACTACTACTACT